GCTTATCGTCAGAACTCTTTAGAAATAAACGTTAAAACACGTTCAGAACTATACGAGAATTATAATAGAACTCACTGTTACCCATGTGTATTGTTTATTTAAGAAAGTGTTTTTATTTTTATCCAATTTCCTTCTGTTGTTGCTCGTAATTTGGCCGCTTGAACATGCATAGGTAAAATAAATTTAATAAGAGTGCAAGAAACATTATAAACTACCATTTTTTCTCAATATAGTTAATAATATAATTATTGGTATGCATTTAAATATTATATTTAAAATTTATTATGCAAAGTAAAGGTTTTGAATGTAAGACTTTTTTAGATAGAAAAGCATAGAACGGTGATTTCTATACATTACATTTACGAATTTTAGTTTTTATGTTTACAAATATTTATTTAATTAATTATATTTGCAATCTTTATATATTTATAAATTTTAAATATATATACATATATATATATTTATTTATTTAATTATAAATATAAAAATTAAAATTTGTATACAAGCAAATGTAACGTATATAGCGGGTATAGCGTATCGTCGATTTGTCAACTCGAGACTCGGCACTCGGCGAGACACGAGACGCGATACCCGAAATGCGTGGCATCGTGGTATAGCCGGCAAGCCGGCCCGTGCAAAGCGGCAACGTCACAGCTCAAGAGAGATAGCAGATCGTATGTCTGCCCTTCTCTCCCCGCTCGAAGCTTGCCGAGGGCCTAGCGTACACGGACAGAGGAAAGGCTTGCGCGACCAGCATATATCCCCTCCTTCTGAGTAGTTCGGACACGAACCATAGCATGGATACGAACCCATGTATCGTTACCCGAGTCCTCTCTGATCGTTACCGAGCGTAACGCCGTAGTTGACGTCCACTTTCTCAGAAGGCAGATTAGGACAGACGTCCCCCGAAGCCGGATGGCCGCTCTCAGGTTTCTCTCTGGTTGCCACATTCGCATCTGGCGTCATCTATGTACCCCTTTCTTGCTAGTGACTCGTTGACGTTGTAGTGATTACTCCTCAGTCGGTTAATCAACGTTATAAAGTATTTTTCTTCATTCTTTCCATGGAACCATGGCTTCTTCTTTTTTCTGTTGTAGAAGTTTTTAAAATAATAGATTCCTTTAAATCTGGCATCTTTAACTAAGAAATCTTGTGTTTTATTCCAAATTTCCTTTCTGAATTTCTGTCGGAAATCTAGAAATGATACTTCTATATGGTCATCTGCTTCCTCTTCTGCCGCCTCCTTTGCCAATTTGTCCGCCATCTCATTGCCACTTATCCCTACGTGTGATGGAATCCACACGTAGACTATCTTCTTCTTTTTTTCTTTGCAGAGTCTAAAGTGTCTTTCTCTTATTTCATTGATATACCTGTTTTTGTATACACTTAAATGGTTATTACGTATTGCTTGTAATACTGCTCTGGCATCTGTTAAAACTGCTATATCCCTTGGTCTGCTGTCCGCTTTATTCTCCATAATTTCTAAAACTGCTTTTATTGCTATGGCTTCTGCGGTGAAAGTAGAACAATTCTTCGATATGCTAATATTATATGCCACTTCTTGTTCTTCTATTACCACACTAGCGCCTAATAATTTGCCCCTTCTTTTCTTGAATCCATCTGTATAGATTACCGTAAATCCTTCGTCCATACCATGAGTTGTTTTAATTTTCTCCAATAATTGAGCATCCGTCACTCCTTTTTTCTTCCGATAATATTCTATACTTAAATCTATATTTATTTGTTGCGTAACCATATCATATTCCATATCAAATATTTCAAATTTTCTTCTTGCCCCATTTTCTTTCTACACCATTTTATTCTTCTCTATGCTTCTCCTATTATACTTCTTTGGTGTAATGGTTGTCTATATCTAGCATAGTCTTTGTTTTGAACTAACTCTTCTATCTTTGTACATAAATCCTCCTCTCCGTAAATACTAATCTTACTTAAAAAATTCCTAGCTAATAATTCTGCTCTATCCCTGAGTAAGGTTACTTTTGCTTCCGCTATTATCACATTATTTGGAGTACTATTTCTATACCCTAGCGCTGTTCAAATTCCTAAATTTTGAGTTCTTTCCATTTTTAATTTCTGATTTTCTTTTTTCGGGAAATATACAAAATTCCCATAATCTGTAATTGATCTAATCAAACTTTTATATAACACTAATGCTGTGTTAACTTCCATACCTTTCGATTTCTTATTCAAGTATACCATTAACGAATTTGCTTTACTAACTTTACCTTTTACTTCTTGTACCTGTTTTATAAATTCTAACTTAGTATCTAACCATATTCCTAAAAACTTTGTTTCTGATTGTGCATATATTCTCGTATTTTTTAATTTTATATAAGTATTATCACATCCACCGTGTCTCGAAAATTGTACTAATACTGTTTTCTTTGGTTCTAATTGAAGTCCTAACTCTGTAAGTTGTTCGCTAATACTATTCACAGCCTTTTCCAATATTCGTTTATTATTATCCCTATTATGACCTTTGTCATATGCTGCTATATCATCTGCAAATTGCACTGATTCGTATTCTATCTGTTCTTTGTTAGTTACATTATATGTGTAAAGCGCATACAATAATGGACTAAGTACAGCTCCCTGAGGTAATCCTTTATATACTCTTCTATATTCTGATTCCTGACCATTAATAATAAATTCCGTGTCTCTATAATATAGCCATTTACCTATATACTTTCTAATATTTACCGGACATTTAAGTTTCTTTAAAATTGTCATTAATATACTATATATTACATTATCGTATGCTGAGGAAACATCTAAGAAGGCTGCCAAAACATATTGATTTGTATAAATACCGTTCCTTATATCTGTTGTTAACCTGACCAAATTTTCTGCGCATGACCTGCCTCTCCTAAATCCATTCTGGTCTCTCGCTAGCTTGTTAATTCGTTCCGCCCACCAGACCATTCGCTCGTTCACCATCCTTTCCATAACTTTTCCTACACAGGATGACAGTGCAATTGGCCTGACTTTTTCTTTTCCAGCTTTGTCAATGAACATCGTCTGATATTTCCTCCAGTCTTCCGGGAACCAGTCCGTTGTCCATACTTCATTACATATTTCTAGCATCACCTCCTCCATCTCTTCAGTTAAATCCTTCAGCATACTATATTCTATTCCGTCTCTTCCTGGTGCCAAATTGTTCTTAATCATTTGTAGTGCTCTTTTTAATTATTCTTTTGTAAACTTATCTTCTAAGCTGTCTTTCGTATTGTATACTCCTTCCTGGTCCAACATTTCTACTTGAACACTTGGTGGTGCTAGTTTATCAATTTCTTTTCTAATTTCTTTTTCTCTATTTTTGTTCGTCCAACTGTTCCAATTTATCTTCTTTTTAACATTTTTAAAAATTCTTATTTTCTATACATATGTCTGACTCGTAAATCTGTTAATTGATGCACAGAATTTATCAAAACTTTCTCTTTTTTTTGTATTAATAATCTTCTTTGCCTCCGCTTTTCTCTTGTTGTATTCTACTGAATGAAAATCCTTCTTTTTTTTTTAATTATTTAACGCTCTTTGTCTTCTTGTTATTGCTTCATCACAATCCATATCCCACCATATAACTTTTCTTCCTCTAAATTTTTCTCCCGTCATTCTTTTATTCTGTTCCTCTTTTTTATTCTGATCTCTTGTTTTTCTTCCATCTTCCGTGATGTTTTCGATCGTTGTTTTAATTACCTTGATAAAAGCTGAATATTTTTCTTCCTTGTTGATCTTATTTCCCAATAAAGTCTCTTTATATTCTTCTATGTTGTCCTTAATTATTTGTTCCATTTTATATTTGTACTCTATCCATCTTGTTTTTTTAGTAGAAAATCTATTCGTTTTCTTCATGTAGCTTTCTATTTCTGTTGTTAACCGTATTTCTACTGGATGATGGTCTGAATCCCAAGTGTCATTAATTTGTTCATATTCAATATCATCACATATTCTTGAGGTGGCAAAAAATAAATCTAAATTATTTGAATGTTGTCCTATTGCTCCCACTCTTGTTAATGTATTTAGATTGACACATATATATTCATTATCATACATGTTTTCATATAAGTATTCTCCTTGTTTGTCTATATCATAGCAATTCCATAATGTATAGTGTGCATTAAAATCTCCTGCAATAATATTCTCTAAGTTTTTAGTTTTAAATTTGAATATGTATTTCCATATTTTATCTGTTATTTCTCCCGGTCTTCTCTATATATTGCAACAATATTGAATTTTTCTTTTGTATTGATAAGTCTTACACCTATAATATCAAAAATATCATTTATTTTTTGCCAACCATTTATGATTTCAAATTCTATATTTTCTTTAATACTAATTGCAACTCCTCCACTATTACCTCTACTTAATTTACAGTACGATTTAAATCCTGGTATATAAATGTTATTTTTATTACACTTTGTTTCTGTAAATATAATTATATCATATTCTTGTGCTCTTTTTATTATCTCATTTTTCTTACCATGAAATCCTCTGCAATTCCAATTAACTATTTTTAGATTGAATTTACCAAAATCTTGTTAGCGCTGTAAAGAGTCCGATCGAACTCTTACACGCGCTATCTGTTGCTCTTGATCTCTTCTGAAATCTCTTTTCATATCGCTAACTATCATTCTTTGTTTTCTAATTTTTTCCTCTAGTTCTAATTCTTTTTTCTTTTGTAATATGTCTTGTTTGATCTTATATTTATCTCCCTGATTTCTTATTTCCTTTTTTTCTGATCCTTGGATCATTTCCTGTATAATTCTTCTAAATTCCCAGTCTTGATTAGTATAATATATTAATTTCGCTGCTAGACTTGTAATGATATCTCGATCTCTGTTCAGGCCTACTGGAATATTTACTTCTTCTTCCCTCTGGCCTTGTCTTTCTTCCTCTGGAGTATTATTGTCCGATTCTTCCTCTGATGTTTCTTTATCCCATCCTTCTGGTTGTTTTTCCACTTGTTTTAGGGCTATTCCTCTTTTATCCTTTGTAATTTCTTCTCTTCTGTTGTCGAATTGTTTATAGTAATTTTCTTGTTTATTCTTCTGTGTCGCTAACTTGTCTTTATATGTATTAGTTTTCTTCCTGTATCTATCCTCCCTATCTTCTTCATATGTTATTAGTTTTCTAGATGTCTGTGATTCTTCTCATCTTCCTTCCATCTCTTTTCTTGGTTGAGAAAGTTTTGGCCATTGAGCCGGTGTTTCATATCTATCATATGTTTGTTCTTGTGCTTTGTCTTGTTCTTTCCCAGCCAGTATTCTTTCTGCTTCCCTACGAGATACATTATTAAGTCCCATTGCAAGATTTATATTTTTTTTTTTCTCGTATTCTCTGCACATTCTCCATGTAGATCTGTGGTTGCCTCCGCAATTTCTGCATTTTGTATCTCTCGTGCAGTTTCCATGTGCCAGATCTCCACATATTATGCATCTCTCTTCACTCTTGCACAGAGCTTTTATGTGGCCGAATCTAAAACACTTAAAACATTGTTTGACCGATGCTATGAACGGTCTAACTTTTATTGCTGTTCTACGTCCAAATAGATCAAGACTTTTCCGGACTTTATCACCCATAAATGTGATTATTAGATTTCCTGTATCCTCTTTCGTCAGAATCTTCTTTTCTTTATCCCACTTTTTCCTATACATCCTTCCGATTTTTAGAACATCATCGTGGTCATCCATTGAATCCCATAAATCTGAAATGCTATCTCCCCAGTCGGTGATCACCCCGACAAATTTCGATCCCCTTTGGTCGATTTCTGCCGATAATCCTGTCTCCTCTGTAAGGTTATTGATTCCTTCTAAACAAATATTTGCATTATTACAATTGTTAAATTTACATATAGCCGTTGTATGTGATAACATAATAATATCTTTTGGGAATATTTTTTCCTTGTTGCTATTTTCCAAATTTTAAATCGATTCTTACCTTTTTTTGTCTGTACTCTATCTTTATTCAGTTTAAGTACTAATCTATATGTAATATTGGTCCCTTCTTTGAATTTAACCTGCTTCTGGTTTGCCAGTTCAGACGCGTCCAATTCACTGATTCTTTCTAGTACGCCTGCACGATTCATATATTCCTCTCGTGCCGTCCTCTCCATGGCTTTGCTATTTTCCTCCATACCCGTATTTTGTTTAATTTTCACACCCGAATTCGATTCAACACGTTACACGTGGTATTCGCGTGTTGCATCACCTCCATATCTATCTCCATCTCATTCGCTGATGCATACCTGCAATCTTCCGTGGTAGTGTTTCCTGATTCGTGCGTTGAATCTTCCGTGCTGACGTCATCGTTACCTGATTGGCTGTTCCTTTCTTCCCTGTTGTCCATCTTCATAGTAGACATTTCTTATAGAATTTTGGCGCGCTTATCCTTCGCCATCTTTTTTTGTCCTACCGTCTGCCATTCTCCATCCTTCTGTGAGAATCCCTGTGTATCCTCTTCTCTATTTTCGTTTGAACCGTCTTCTGCGGCTCTTTTCCTCTCGCTAACTAACTCGTTCGCTACGACATCCATTGCTGATTTCTTTGTATCACTTATCGAAAGTCGTTCCCTCGCTTTTCGTATATCGTCAATTCTCCCGAATTTGTGCTTGACTTTATTCCCCCCTTCACGGGGGGAAATTTTCTTTTCCCCCTTTGACTTGGCTATCCTAAGAGTCGTATAAGCCCCTCGAAAACCCCTAATCTACTATCCGTATCCGCTAAAAAACCCCCCGAAATTAATTAAACTTTCGCGGTCTCTAGCTAGGTTAAAACGCATGTGTTCGCTACGGCGCGGCGGCCATCACGCAACTCCGCCTTCGGCCGTAAATTAAGTATAGGTTAAGAAGATAGTTGAAAAGATGACAGGTTTAACTCAGAACACATGTAAATCTTAGATTGGGACAAATTTTAGACTAGGAAATATAGGATCAAGAATAAGAAGAGGAAAAAGAGGTAAAGGATAGAAAACAGAGGAGAGGACAAGAGGTAGGTGAAAGAAGCGCTGTTATAGAAGAGGCTATACGAAACAAGGGAGGATTAAATGTGAAGAGGATTATCGAAGAAGGAAGAAGAAAAAGCAATCGAAAATCTCTAGAGTTCCGGGTCAATGGAGATGGAAAGAAGAAAGGTGAAATAAAGGACACAAGGATGGGCGAGCCTAGAGGTGTTCTAGGAAATGGAAAGTAAAAGAAGATAAGCATAGCTGAGGAAAGATTAAGCCAACGATGAAGAAGAGATGAGATGAAAAGAAGAAAGGTATAGAAAAGCTATTGGCGTATTCCTGGAACAAGGATTGGCGAAACTTGTCTGCGTTGTAAGAAAGAAAAGTAAAAGAAGGTGGAAATAGGAAAAAGAGGTAAGAGGACACGCAAGGCTTGGTGAGATAAGGAAAGGAAGAAGAAGAAGGAAATGCGGAAGGAGAAAAAATAGGAGGATATGAATGTTACAGTTTAAAAAAACGCAGCAGTTTTCTGGAAATATTAGAATCTTTAGATGGCACGGAGGCGAATCCAGGTATATTAATTATGCAACGGTAGATAGGAGGCATGGGAAGATAACTAGAGAACGAACGTGCGAGGAGGAAATATATGTTGCTTCGGTGGAAACCAGAGAAGAAGAACTGGGAGGCAATTTACTAGGAGCGAATGAGAGGATTTCTCAGTGTCGAGGATTTTGGCAAATAAGGAAGAGGAATGGAGCACAGAAGTTATTCGAGTTAAATGAATTTAAAAGATCAGGAAGATTAGGAAGATAATATATTGGAAGAAAAAAAGAGGAGGTAAGGGCATATAGGGAGGTGTGATGAGTTTGGAAGGGCTGGGGACATAGGATAGCATTAGTTAGGTAGCAAGAGTTTTGTTATTAGTCAATTTTATTATATGTATTGTAAGATGAGAGAGTTGCGTTAATATTTGAAGGTAAAGGTAAAGAATTATTAATATATTAAGATGTGGTTAAAAAACAGGAAATAGTTGTAATATTAAGGTAAAGGTAGGGATAAAGAAAAAGAGAGAATTAGGTTTTTGATTATAAAGTATATAGAGAATATGCATTGATTTAGAATTCAAGTTTTATAAGTTTTAGGATGTAAGGAAGGTTATTTTAGAAACAAAGCGAGATATGAGTCTAAAGAAGATTTGGAAAAAATTTAGAAATAAAAAAAATAAAAGAAATATAGAGAATATTAGTTGTTGCGCGTAGCGGTAAGAAGGTATGTGTGTGTGTATAGGTGAATAATGTCCGTTTCTTGGCTTGATACTGCCGAAGTGGACTAAGTCAAGTATTTCTGAGTTTAGGTTGTGAGTTTGACGTGCAAATAATAGGTTTAGGCGTGTTGGGTTTAAGGAATGGTTTTTCTAGAGGAAATTAAAAAGTACGGAATAAGGAATTAACAGTGTCACGCGTTAAGTTAAAAAAGTTGGTATGAGTGTGTTTAAGGTATATTGTAAACCAAGTCCATTTCATGGCTTTGTATAGCTGAAATAAAATAAATCTATATCTATATCTATATCTATATCTATATCTATATGTATTCTAAAAAGATACTGATCCAAAGTATGCTTGAATATCAAAATTAATATTTCAAGTAGCTTTTGTATACTCAGCTTAAAAATGAAAATATAAAATATAAACAAATTTCACATTTTTGTATAAGATTCCAAATTTCATGTACGGTTTTATAACTTGATCCTCCTAAACAATAATTTAATTTGCTAAAGAGAAATTGGTGTTAATTAATTAAGGTTTACCTTTTACCTGACTTAATATGTACAACAAAATTACACACGTTGTATAATTATTAATATAAATTCTACATATTTTTCACAGCTAAATTATGGAAATATAATCTGCAAGCTGATGATAATGTATCTCACGTATACTATAATCACACTATTAACATACTTCCAAGAAAAGAATATTTGTAAAAATTTTTAATACATTTAATTCCACGATGCTATACTTATATACAATATCTATATACAAGAATACAGGACCATATGTACAACAGTCATATGTACTTTCATGTATTTTAATGCATTTTCTTTTATAACACACTTTGCTCTTCATTATTGTTATATATCTTTCTGGTCAGTATCTATCAAGGATACATTCAAATAAACGTTCTTCTCCTGCACAACTCCACAAATCTTGTTGCTGCATGTGCTTTTATTTGGCAAATCTTGACTGGAGCAGACATCATCTACCTCTGACTCTACCAAGCTGTTGACTTTCGATATCTGACTAAGATCTGTATTCTGCATCTCAAAACTCGTGTCTACAGAACATTCTTGACTGCACTGCAAATCATCCAAGTTTGTCTCCTTCGATAATTTGCTTCCAGATCTTTCTGTCAAATCGCTATCGGCTAGTTTTGAATTAAATGGGGATTCATTCTCAGGCCTTTCACTTTTACTCGTATCTTTGGACTCATTTAATTTTTTGACTAGATCTTCCCAGGGATCTTCCAGAAAAGAATCTATGTCTACATACACCGATACATTCACTTGCCTATGTGCTCCTCTGTAACTCTAAAAAGATGTAAAACAAGATCAAGTAACTTGTACTGTTAATAATACCGATCTTAAAATGCTCTCACACAATGTAGAAGGATCTCCATTGTTCGACACAATCTCTCAGTCTGCCAAGCACTTACCTTTCTTTTTTGCCTGTGGAACTGCTTAGGGAAATGCTTGTAGGCAAGGTACTGGTTATTACAGTTCGATCTTGGCGTGGCGTGATAGTTACCCCTATAATTGTTATACCATCCACTACCTGGACTGCTGCATTCACCGGCAGGGCTATACTGACTAGCAGCATTATACTTTTCGTGCCGCGTCATCGGCGTGCTGACGTTCAGAGGGATGAAATTATCGTCGCAAGGCTGCGACTCTGCACCACTTACAGGGAAACGCTGGTAACTGTTACTCTCCGTGGTCTGATAACCTCTACTGTTCGCGTTCTCATGCGACTTCCAATTGTACGGCGTGTGCTTCGCGCCATACGGCCGGCCACTGTGCGTAGCATTGTTCAACGGCGATCTCTTCATTTTTCCCGAAAAACGAACACGTATCAATCTCACGACATGCACCTGCCATCTGCCATTCGCTTCACGGACCAAACATTGAATATACGAAGAGAAACAAGACACAAGACATAATAATCGTCGTGGCATCAAACCGGATATGACGTTTTTGATGGCGGTTTATTTTGACTGTTGAATAAATATTAGAGCTCGGAAAAAGAACCAGATAACCGGGTATCCAGATACCCGTCCGCTTGCCCGTTAAGGCCTTCACACATAAAATCGCGTAAGGACGTAAAACGTAAGCGTAAGAAAATCGACCAATCCCAATCAAGTATTGTGCTGTCCGTAACCCCAGTAGGGGAAAATACTCGATTGAGATTGATCGATTTTCTTACGCTTACGTTTTACGTCCTTACGGAATTTTATGTGTGAAGGCCTTAAGGAGGTTCGATGGCTTCATCGGAGGGAGTAGTGGGACGCGGGGATTCTGGAAACAGCGCACTAGCGTTTGAAGTAGTGGGAATGAAGGGGATTGCTCTGATTGGTCGCCGCGTGTATAATGCGTGCTGCTGTTCACGTCGTTCACGACCATGACAGTTTAGCAGACGAAAAATCAAGCAATTTATGCTTTAATAATTAATTTTTCTACGAAATGTGCGGTAACCTTCCCCTTTCTTTCGCTCATTTATTTGTAAATTATTAAGTTACATGTGCAAATTTTTTTTTCTTTATCATTTGCATTTTTTCTTGCACTTATTTCATTCCGAAGGTATATGCAATATGTTATTTCCCATAAAAACCTATGTTAAAAATGCAGCCAGTTTCATAAAATTTTAATATGTTGTTCTGGAATGCAAAATATAATTATGTGAATTTTTGGGGAATTTTTCACCGTCCCGTTTTGAAAAAAATCTAATCCAAAAATTGTACTTTTTAAATTTTTGGAGTAGATTTTTTTCAAAACGGGACGGTGAAAAATTCCTAATAAATTCACATAATTCTATTTTGCATTCCAGAACAACATATTAAAATTTTATGAAACTCTCTGCATTTTGTTGTAGTCATCGAACCTCCTTAAGGAAATCTTGCAGTGACAAGCGAACTTCCTCGATGTCGATAATGGCCTAGTTTACACCGATCTCTTGATACGCGTATCAAATAGTATATTTGAACTGATCAGCCAATAATCAGACTTATTTACTAGTTATTTACTATTTAATACGCGTATCAAGTGATCGATGTAAACTAGGTGTCAACCTTTCTAAATTTGTTTTCCTTATATCTGTCTTTGAATGAAAAGTAGCAGCAGATCGTACTGATTGGCTACAAAATAGAGAAGTTCTAGGAACTCGAGAACTTCTCTATTTTATAGCCAATCAGTACAATCTGCTGCTACTTTTCACTGCCCATGAAATTTCACCTTTAAGGTGGAAGCACATAAAATTGCAAGAGCCATGAGCAAAATGCAGAACTCATATGCGCATGCGCTATGGTATCTGCATTCTGCCCATGGCTTCTGAATTTTCAATCTACATAAAAATACATAAGCATAGTTTATGTAGATTGAAAATTCAGAAGCCACAGCCATGGGCAGAATACAGGCAGATACCATAGCGCATGCGCATATGGCTTCTGCGTTTTGCTCATGGCTCCTGCAATTTTATGTGCTTCCACCTTTACGCGTTGTGCAGAAGTGTGTGCTCCCTGCTTTAAGCAGGGAGCACACACTTCTGCATAACGCATAATGCCCGTATCACACTAGCGATTGGCGATTGCATCTACGTTTGCATTTACGTCTCTAGACCAATCAAAAAATAGCTGCTGGCGATTGCGATTCGCGATTTCCGTTCTGATTGGTCAAAAGACGTAGACGCAAACGTAAATGCAATCGCCAATTGCTAGTGTGATACGAGCATAATGCGTAAGCATAAGAAAATTGATTGGTCCATACACATGTGCATAAGAAAATAGACCAATCAATTTTCTTATCCTTACGCATTATGCGTTGTGCAGAAGTGTGTGCTCCCCGCTTTAAGGTCTATCCAGACAAACTTGCATAGGTGCATAAAGAAACGGATTGGTCTATTTCCTTATGCACATGCATATGGATCAATCAATTCTCTTATGCTTATGTTTATGCGCTATGCAAGTTTGTCTGGATTGATCTTTAAGCGGGGAGCACACACTTCTGCACAACGCATAATGCGTAGCATAAGAAAATTGATTGGTCTATTTCCTTAAGCGGGGAGCACACACTTTTGCCCAACGCATAATGCGTAAGCATAAGAAAATTGATTGGTCTATTTTCTTATGCACATGTGTATGGACCAATCAATTTTCTTATGCTTACGCATTATGCGTTGTGCAGAAGTGTGTGTCTGGGCCCTTAAGGCTATCGTACAACACAAAATGCATAGCTTAGCATAAGCGTAGCATAAGATCGCTAAACCAATGAGCATCTAGCAAAAAGTCGCCATATTAATTTACATACGATGCTCATTGGTCCAGCGGTCTTATGCTATGCATATGCAGCCTATGCAATTTTGTGTGCGATGGCCTTTATGCTACGTTTATGCTTATGCTATGCATTTGTAGTCATCGCACGATTGGCAACACTGTTCCGCATAACGAACGCGAGAGGTACACGCACTACACGCATACGATACGCAGCAATACGCAGAGCAGCGGCGTCGTGACTCGTGTATGTACGTACGTACGGGCAGTAGTTTTTAACGTAAACGGTGAATTACGGAGTACCGTAGTACGGATTTAGTGAGCTCGAGTGATCGCGCATTGAAGGGATATACGTACATTGGTTTAACCGTTGATTTCAGTTTCTTCGTTTCTACATTTTTCCCCGCTCTCCGCTCCCCGATTATCGATGGATACGTCTGTTGGTTACCACGCTACCACGGAGACGTCGGCGGCTGGAACGGTAATATCATTCTCTAAATTCTCTTATTCCCTTCTCTCTTTCTACGGGGCGACCGACGTGATCGCGTGGCGTTACCCGCGTACTCCCATATACCCTTCGGGACCGTGGAAGCCCATGGGATCAATAAGTTGAACGATCGGCGTCACGGGTGACGCGAGCGATCGGGATCGCTAACTTCTCGTGATAGGCGACGGTTGGCAGTACTTTCTTCAGAGTGGACTCGACTTCGACCGCCATTTCATCAACTTGCCTCTCCCTCTGTCTCACCGCGTTGCGATGCGCGGCCTTTTCATTTTCTTTCCTTCTATTCGTTCTTGATATCTCATTGAAACGTTACAGTCATGTGCAAATAGCGCGAAAGAAAGAAAAAATAGATTTGACTCGACCGAGATTCAAGGGATCGAACTGAGACGAGGAAAGAAAATAAGGCCAGCCACATTTTTTTTAGGCGGGATCCTCTGTATCCTGCACGCGTCGCGTTCAATGTTTAATGACGCACTGCCTTTTCGCTGAACATGAAACTAATGTATGTATGTACGTATGTACATTTGGAAGTCGGAAAGAGAAAGGATGAAAAGTATCTTTGCAAAGGTTAACTGACAGGAACAAGCCTGTAAATTTAGGCGCTTATTGAAATGTCGGAGATGCATGTGTTCCGATTTTGGGCAAATTCACGTCTCGAGGATCTAGGTCGATCACTAGTCTTCTGTAAATAAAAAGTGGTTTCCATCTCTGGATTCCGAAAGCGCATATACCCGCATTTGCTACAGCAAACGTTACGTATGCTATAGATAAATGCGCGCATATACGCTCTATGGAACCCAGGGCATACATGGCATTTTGATGAGATCTTCAGGATTGAATTGTTGGAAAGATGAATTCCTTCACATTCCTTGCAATTTGCTTCCTTTCTTGCATTCTTTTATTGTAAATTGGTTTTTTGTAGTTGCACTTAAGTCATATCCCGCGTTTAAGATATAACTAGATGTTAGAAAAAAAGAGGGAAAACGAATAGTACGTTAATTTGTGCGTCTGAAGTGTTCTCTTCTTTCTCTCTCTAAAACCGGGTCCACATAATCCACATTATCGAACCGAACTGCGAGCCGGCCCCCGAACCGAATCTCGAACAGAACTTACAAACGAACCTCAAATTGAACTCCATCGCAAACCGCGAATACGAGTTAAAATTTTTTGAAGTCAAATCTCGTATCGAAATTTATAATAAAATTTATATAAATTCTTAATACATGTATGCAAAATGCATATTTATATTTACAATCGTACTTTTTAACATTGCAATATATATATTATAAATTTATTGCGTATTTATCACAGGTTTAGAGTATGTTTATGCAATATTAATTCTAAATTTTGTTTTATGGTTTGAAAAGGAATTAAAGCCTGATCTACAATGTGCTCTTTGCTTCCCGTTTTTTGCTCTTAACCTGTTTGCGACTATCCCGTATTTCGCAATTGCGTCGCGTAACGCGATGTTTTTTGTTCTCTGTCGCCCAAGATAAAAATTGACGAACTTCAGAAGAGACAAGAAACATCACGTTACGCGACGGAATTGCGAAATACGAGATAGTCGCAAAGAGGTTAAGAGCAAAAAACAGAAAGCAAAGAGCACATTGTAGATCAGCCTTAAGTTTTGAATACAGGAAAATAATAAAAGCACATATACACATTTCACTCATCTTTTCCTGTTTCCATACTTTTTTATTTTTGCTTTTTCTCTTTGTAGAGATGCCAATAATGTCGTCACCTTTTTTTTGCACATGTCACTCACATTCGAGTTCTTTACTTATTTCTTCTTATAAAAAAAGTATGAGAACAGGAAAAGACGACTAAATATGTGTACCTATACATATGCGTGCTTTTATTATTTTCTTGTATTTAAGGGGATGCTAAAGCTAAGGCCGAACTTCCTCGACGTCGGTAATGTCAACTCTGTCAACTAAAGCAAAGGCCGAACTGATATTGGAGACCTCGCGTGGTGACAACGCGAAACTCCGGTTTCAGTGTTACCAACTTATTTCAGATTCTATGAAGTGGTGTATGTCCGTACACGTACACACACCACTGAATTGCTCACACGGACGCACGGTAGAGAGACATATGCTATAGACGCGGCAACGCCGCGCGGCGTTGCCGCGTCTTGGATTCTTTAGCAATACGGCCTGAACCTGAAAAATGCT